AGTTTACTGTGAGGACCCAGAAATTTAGTTGAAGGGGACGAGGAATAATATTGATAAAGGTAACTAGAAATAGTTATACTTGAATTCTTTACGTGTTATTAACAATTTTTCTGTTCAATTATTATAAGTAAACAGTATGTGCAAAAAAATAAATAAATAAAACTTGACAAATGAAAATTATTTTAAAACATAAAAAAATATAATGATACTATTACTAATACAGAAAATATATAAGCACCATTTTAAATGAAAGAAACGTAAGATAAAGTGTGATGATTTTTACATACTGCGTTGATTAAAAAAAATCATTGAAATGAAAACAAAAATGATACGAGAGAGTCAAGATGTAATTTGTGGGAAAGATCATCTCAATCGGATGATACAACTCTCTATTAACGAAGAATATATATACAAAATTAGGGCTACAGATAATAAGGCTAATATGGTAAATACATAAATATACACAATAACACCCCCCTCAAGTTGGAGCATGCGGATTCCGAATGCCCAACTTGTCAAGAAAGAAATCAAATTCACGCTTCCCAAGCGCCTTGGTGAAGATGTCAGCGAGTTGTTCCCCAGAAGGAACATGAGTAGTAGAAATGAGACCATGTAGAACAACATCACGAACAAAGTGGCAATCCACCTCTATATGCTTGGTGCGCTCATGAAAAACTGGATTCGCCGCAATATGCAGCGCAGACTGACTGTCACAGTGTAAATGCATAGGCTGAGAGTGAGCGACACCAAGAGTAGACAACAGACCCCGTAACCACTTCAGCTCGCACAATGTAGTAGCCATCGCCCGATATTCAGCCTCAGCAGAAGAGCGAGCGACAGTAGGTTGTTTCTTGGTTCGCCAAGAAACAGGAGACTGACCCAGCTGAATAAACCAACCAGAAAGAGAGCGTCGAGTGAGAGGGCAAGACGCCCAATCCGAATCAAACCATGCATAGAGTTGAAGATCGCAGTCAGTACGAAGATGAATCCCCTGACCAGAAGAGCCTTTTAAATATCGCACTACACGCAGACCAGATTCCCAGTGAGCCTGACGCGGTTGATGCATAAATTGAGAGAGCATATGCACCGAGTAAGACAACTCAGGTCGAGTCACTGCCAGATAGATAAGACGTCCGACTAAACGACGATATCGCTCGGGATCAGTCAATAGATTACCCTCAGCAAGAGGGAGCTGATGATTCTTCTCTAATGGAAAATCAGCTGGCTTGCTCCCTAGTAGTCCGACCTCAGCTATAATGTCAAGAGCATACTTCCGCTGACACAGAAAGAAGCCAGAAGAATTTCGGGCAACCTCGATACCTAGAAAATACTTAAGCAACCCAAGATTCTTCATATAGAAACAACGACTCAAGTAACTCTTGAAGGCCGCAATGAATGTGGTATCATTCCCAGAAACAATCAGATCATCAACATAGACTAGTACCTGCAGATGAACAGAACCACGATGCAGTGTAAAAAGAGAGTAGTCATGATAAGACTGACAGAAACCATACAACTTCAAAGCCGTAGACAACTTGGCAAACCAGCAGCGGGGAGCCTGCTTCAAGCCATAGAGGGAACGACGAAGACGGAAAACCTACCCATCAACGCCAGAGCGAAAACCAGGTGGAACCTTCATGTAAACCTCCTCAGACAAATCACCATGAAGAAAAGCATTGTGAACATCCATCTGGTGAACTTCCCAATGCTTAGCAGCAGCCACAGCCAAGAATGACCGGACTGTAACCATTTTGGCGACGGGAGCAAACGTCTCATGATAGTCAAGACCTTCCACCTAATTATTACCCAAAATCACCAGACACGCTTTATAGCGCTCAACAGAACCGCCGGACTTATGCTTGATCTTAAAGACCCATTTGCACCCAATCGCACGCTTCCCAGATGGAAGAGAAACTAAATCCCATGTGTCATTATTCTCCAAGGCACGAATTTCATCCTGCATAGCGGCTCGCCATCGAGGATCAATCACGGCATCAGCAAAAGTGCGAGGCTCAACAGCGGAGGCGACAACAGCCAAAAAAACTCGATGAGCTGGAGAGATTGAATCACAAGAAACATAATGTGCTATAGGATAAGGTGTACCGGAGGATGGAGACGGCTGGGGAGAAACAGTGGGGGGTACAGCCGATGGTCGGACAGTGTCAACCACAAAATCCTTCAACCGAGTAGAAGGAACCTTAGTTCGATGACCCCGACCCAAGGCCTCCACTGGAAGAGTGGGAGGGGTAATGGTAATGGAACCCTCCCTGTCGTCAGACGTGTCCATATTAGTAGCAGAAGACCCAGTATCGGGAGAAACATGAGGCAAAGAGACAACCGAAAGATCCTCATCATCAACTGGCACGAAGAAACCAGCACAACAAGAGGCGGTGGCAAAGAATCTGGCTCAGACGAGTCTGAACGATATGGGAATTCAATCTCAAGAAACGTCACATCACGAGAGACAAAGAAAATCTGACGATCCAAATCATACAAACTCCACCCTTTTTTGCCAAAAGGGTAACCCACAAATTGACATCAACGACTCCGAGCAGCAAACTTGTCACCATTACAATCTTGGTTATGAGCATAACAAAGGCAACCAAAAACCCGCAAATGAGACAAGGAAGGAGCCGAACCATAAAGAATCTCATATGGTGTTTTACCATGTAAAACCAAGGAAGGAGTCTGATTTATCAGATAGACCGCAGTCAAAACACAATGACCCCAAAAAGAAAGAGGTAGATGAGCCTAAAAACGCAAAGCACGAGCTACATTGAGAATATGCTGAAGTTTGCGTTCCACACGCCTATTCTGTTGAGGGGTGCCTACGCAAGAAGTCTCATGCAAAATCCCTTGACGACGAAAATAAGAGGCCAAACACATGAGATCACTTCCATTGTCACTACGAGCAACACGCACCAATTTATCAAATTGTCGCTTAATCATAGAAAAAAAATTCGGCAATGTGGAAACAACCTCCGTCTTATCATTCAATAAATAAACCCATGTCCTACGAGAACAATCTTCCACAATAGTAAAAAAATATCGTGCACCAGAGAAGGACGAAACACGATACGGACCCCACAAATCACAATGAGTCAAATGAAAAGTCTCATGACTAACAGTCTGACTGGGAGAAAAACTACGACGATGTTGTTTAGCACGAAAACAAGCATCACACGATTTATGCAAATTACGAGAATTAGAATCAATAACAGGAACCTGGGATAATACTTGAGCAGACGGATGACCCAAACGTTGATGCCACACATCGGCAGAAACCTTCCGAACACAAGAAACTGCCGTAGAAACCGTCCATCGAAAGAAGTAGAGACCCCCCAACTGCTCACCCGCGCCAATCACCTCCTGCGAAGTGCGGTCCTAAATGACGCAGAATTTGTTAGTAAACTGAGCGGTGCAGTCGGAGCGATCCAATAATTGATATAATGAAATCAAGCTGCACCGGAGGCTGGGAATATATAAAACATCATAAAGAATGATATGAGATCCCAAATAAACAGTGTCAGCCTTGCTAGCCATAGTCAAAGAACCATTAGGCAACTGAACAGGACGGGCGGGAATGTCCCGAACATCAGAAATAAATTCGAGGAACCCTGTCATATGATAAGTTGCCCCACAATCATACATCCAATCAAATAAACCAAGTGTACCAGACAAGGGATTATTTTGTTTAGCGGAATTAACCAAAACCACAAAGTCATCCCATTGTTCATTGGTTAAATCGCCAAGTGCAAGACGATCAAAATCACTCAAAACTCTACTAGCGGTGGAAGAACCAATAGAACCAGCAAAAAATGGCTCACCGATACCACTGGAGAACGCCGCATTCGCACGAGCACCACTCTTGCCGCGAGCTCCACCACGGCGGCCACTACCAGAATTACAACTGCGGCCACCACTGGTGCCGGAATTAAACGTTGAAGACGCAGCCATGAAGAAATAGCTTCAGAAGCTGCAACAATTGTCAAGATAACGGAGTTGGGATGTGAGAGATCGGAACTGGGCTAAAGTTGTCCGAACCTCTGTTGGACGTGAATGAGGGGATGCTTTAGACGAGGGCCGAGACGTGGTCGTGACTGTGTCTCAATCGAGCAGTAGGGCGTCTCAATCAAGATAACAACAGGGGCCTTGATGTGGACGAAGGCCGAGACGCGTGGACGTGGACGGCTGTCTGGACGGGGGCTGCACTTGAAGACGACGACTATCCGCTTATAGATGAGGACGACAACAATTGATGCAAACAATTTTTTATTTATTTTTATTTTATTTTATTTTATTTTATTTTTTTTGCGGGATCAAAGCAAAAGAAATCTTGCGAGATCAAATTTGACAAGATTGAATTTTGATGCTGTGGGTTTGATCAATTTGCCCGCAATCAGACTACCATTTTTTTTTTCTTTTTTACAAATAAAAATTGGGATTAGATTTGAGAGAAGATGAAAAACAGATACAATATTTGAGAGGAAGCCGACGTGACGAAGGCATTGAGATTTGACAGGAAAAAATTTGTGATGAAAAAAAATCAGGCTCTGGTACCATGATACGAGAGATACAAGATGTAATTTGTGGGAAATATCATCTCAATCGGATGATACAACTCTCTATTAACGAAGAATATATATATATAAAATTAGGGCTACAGATAATAAGGCTAATATGGTAAATACACAAATATACACAATAACAAAAAACTAAAATTTTATTAAATACTCCCTCCTTTTTTATATATATGTCGTTTTGTACTTATGCACAAGAATTAAGAATTATTTCTTTTGCCAACATTACCCTTATTTAATGAAAATTAACATTAATTAATTATTTTGATTTTAGCTTTATTGTGTTTTTTTAATGAAGAAAAACTCTTCATCTTCCCCATCATTCCTTCAAAAAAATACATGGCGTTTCTTCACATGGCGCTAAAAAAATACAGAGCCTCAACAAATAATTTTCGTACAACTAAATACAGAGCCTCATCAAAAAATACATGGCGCTCAAAAAATACATGGCGTTTCTTTCTCGAATAACACTCGATCAACTAAATTGCAATTACGAGACACCAACAAAATCCCAAAACAAATAATTAATCGAGCAAAAACACATAGACGAACAAGACACTCCGCTCAAAGCAAATCTACCACGTTAGCCGGGAGCTTTTCGGTAAACAGACTTGGTACAAAAATCTTCAACGTCTCATTCACAACTTCATCATTAGGGCAAGAAATTACTTCACCCACGACGGGCTTCTCCTCAACCATTGTGGAGCTTTTACCTTTGAAAAACTAGTTCCAGCTGCTAATCGATTAGGGCGAGGACATTGATGAACATTATCTTCAACATCCGAATCAGACACATACACCTTAAATGACTCCGTCGAATTACTAATTTGCAAAGCGATTGAATGGGCATCATCTAAACTTGCCTTTGTCTTTTCCAATAGTTGAAGGAATTCATCCAAAAGAAGTTTGTGAGATTGAACAAACTTAGAAAAGTGAATTTCTGGATTCGATTTTGAAGAATCATCACCTTTCGAATCCATAAANAAACAATAATCAAAGGATTAGAAGAATTTTGGATTGAAAGAGGCACACACAAATTGTAGAAGAGGAATTGGAAAAAAAATATAAATATAAAGATATAAAGTGAGATGAAAATTATTGATAGCCTTGGGAGTACGAGATGTTGTTTTTGGAAACGAGGAAGACGGAAGATGTAGAGACTCTTTTTTTTTGCTAGACTTTAATATGGAGAGATGAATGGGGGATAAAACTGGAAAAATGAGATTAAGATGCTTAAAACGTCATTTATTAAAATAAAGATGAACAAAGTCAGAACGACATGTATATAAAAAAGGAGGGAGTATAAATTTAATAGATACATATAGAATCAATAATGTTAAGGAGCCAACTGTTGGCTCCGTTATAAAGCCAACAGCTAATGGGACAGCTCCATGTGAGGTTGTCCTAGCATTATTAAAAAACAATGTGAACAAGAATATGAAATTTCATAATATAAAAATGCAATTTTATTTAGAAACTATGACAGTTAAAAGATTGGGCATGCATACAAAATTACAACAGTTAAAAGATTGGGCATGCATACTAACAAAATCATTTGTGATACAAAAAATATGAATCAAAATTTGAAAAGAAATTAAAGAAAAGAAAAAGAACAACGCACATGGTTCTCCATGCCATTAATAAAAAATATTTCTGATCTTGATGGCCCATGAAATTCTTGAATATGAAACATATTAANAAAAAAAAAAAAAAAAAAAAAAAAATGAGACTGTGTGCGTGTGTGTATCTTTTATTCTATTTTGGCTGTTGTACATTAACCCTCACCGGCCAGTGCAATGGCTGCTGTTTTTCAAGACATACCAACTTGAATTTTGCAGCCCATCGTTAAAATTCTCAAACCTATACTTGCATTTATTTTGTGTTCGATCTTTGTCGGGATTGAAGTCACAAATACTATTGTCAATTGGTCTAACCGTGAGATAGTTCGACATGTTATTCATTTTGTTTATTAAATGAAACAAATTTTTCTACTTAAACTATGAAATATATGTCATAATTCTTTATTTTTATATTGTTTTTATAATAAGTTCACCCTCAAGGTAACATCAATGTCTGGGGTCCAAGTAGTGGGCTCTTTGTACACCATTTGGGCTATACTCATAGTTAGCCCACCATTTTAGTGACTATTCAGGTCGATTTGTCTTATCAGTTATCATGTATTTAATTTTATTAATTTAATATAAGAAAAATAAATAAATTAAATACTTAAACATTGAGAAAACATTTATATCCAAAACATGCATGAGAACGCAAAATATGATAAAGATTCCTAAAATGAAGTTAGAAAACATTGAGAAAACATTTATATCCTAAAATGATTTATTTATATTGATAATATTGATGATAGTTGGGTTGAGTTAAATTTGAGTTAAAAAAAATAGTTGAGTTAAAAATGATTGGATTTTTTGGGTTGAATTTGTATCCAAGCATACTCTAAATGTTTTTTTAACCTTTTTTCTAGAAAATTTCCATGATCAAATAACAATCTATATATATATAACTAGTGCGTGGCCCGTACGATGCACGGGAAAAAAATATTACGATTGTATTATAAATTAAATATATAAATAACATTAATCATGATTTATCTATCATTTTTAAATTAAATCGGGTTGCACACAGTCCGACCGGATGGACCGATAACCGGTTTATAACCAGTCTAGTTCGCTTGAATAAAATATTTGCTCTCGAATCCGTCACCACCAGTTGGTTGGACTGATAGGATCGATACGATTTTCTAAATAAATTTTATTATATTTAAAAATATATTAAATAAAATTACATATTTAAATAAAATAGAGATTTATAAATTATTTATCAATTAGTTTAAACATTTCAAAAAATTAAGATTAATTGATTGATTATGCAATTTAAAGAATATTTTTAGCGTTCATTTTTTTTTAAGGCACAAATATAAGACCGAGATTTAATATTGTTTGTTGTTTCTAAGAAAAAAAATAAAAATAAAAACATACACACTTAATAAATCTTAGTTGGATTTTTTAAATAATAAAATGAACTAAAGCCCGAAACTTAAGGTAGCATTTAATGTTGTATGATTTTTAAAGAAAAAAATAAGAAAAATAAGAAAACTTACTATTTATAGGCTGCATTAAATTATTGACCTATTTTTTTGCTACTATTTTTGGTAAATGTTAATTCTTTTTATATATATATAGATATAGATATATAATAAGAATAATCATTTACTAAAAATAGCACTCAAAACTTTTAAGAGCATTTAATGCATATCTTTCTTGGAAACTTTTTAAATATATGCATTAATTGCTTCCATACACATTTTCAAATAAGATCAAATCAGATATGATGAAAAATATTGTTTCCTTAAATAATTTATTAATATCTGCAATAATTTCATTGATATTCATTGTAACAAATTACAAGATTAATTTTTCGTGATTCATATTGATAATATTTTGGGCAAGATTAATATTACAAGATTAATTTTTTAAGTTCATATTGATAATTTTTCCAGAAATCCTACACGGAAGTAGCCTATAATCCACTACATTAAGTCACTAACGCACCCACAACACAACAAACTATACAGCTCCCAAAGGAAAATAACACGCTCCCAAACAGGAGAAAGTAAAAACTAAAAAAACAAAAAAAAAACCACACACAACCACAACACCACGAAGAAACTAAGAACTGAATGAGAGCCAAAATAAAACCCTCCCAACAGACGAGGATCCACTCCCCAAGCCTTATGTCTGATCTGATACCCAGGTAACCACTACAGGAGGGACGGACCCCCGGCCCAAACACGGAACTAGAAACTGCCTTACGCCTAACTAGAACCGGACTAAGAGGACCCGAAAACGTCCCAAGAGGCCACCCCAGAAATAGTAACAGACGACGTGCACCAAGGTTCCCCCTAACCAATCGGAGAATGCCATCCAAAGAAAAGGACTGAAGCCGCCTCCATCTGGAACCTCTGTACGCCCAGCACTAGAGCAAATACATGAGACAGGGAAATTAAAGCACATGTCAGAGGTTTCGACGACCCGCCACAGCAGACCATTAGAAACCGCCGCCCTAACCAAACCCGACAAAACCAACGGACTCCAAAACACCATGGCCATAAGACCGCAGCAACCTTAGTTGCTCACAAGTGACGCTACAACCGGCCCCAGGCACCGAACCAAAACAGAAGAGGGGAACCACAACTCCAAACACCACCCCACGCCCCATCGAAGGGCAATCAGACTAGCTGTCCCGCCGCCCCCATCTGGATCTGACGAACAAAGCCCGAGAGCCACGCCTGCTAAACGAAAATCGAGGGACAAGAGGACCGCAACCACGATTGCGGCACCAGCCACTAGTAGGAGACGCCGTCGTCAGACTCCACGCCTCTCCGACAATCGACAGCCTCCAATAGCAGCCCGACGGCCAAAGCCTCAAAGCAGAAAGGAGAAGCCGACCTTACCAAGAGTTGTGACATCTGGCTAGGACCGCCCGGGGGGAGAGGAGTTGCGGCGGATCGCCCCGCCTGGAGAGGAGGTACACCACTCGCTTAGATTCAATAGTTTCGAAAANAAAGTCATAGAAGGATACTTTATGGGCTTAGGTCCAAGCGGCAAAGCTCACACGGACTTGTAATATGGGCTTATTTTATGTTTGTTCTGAACTTATATGAGCTTGGACTTTGGTGAAGATTGTATTATCGTTTTGTTGCAAATATTTCGGTTAAAAATAAATAATACGATTATGATATGATATTCATATAACTTGCTTGAGAATCTTGGCCTGTACAATTTGAGTAAATTCTTGGGTATCAGTAGCTATTCTAAAGTGATATTCTAACCACAAGCGGACAAGCCCAAATTTGCCTAACATAAAATTTTACTTTTGAATTTTTTAACGGGTATTATTTTAATTTAAATTAATGATACACTTTTTAAAAATTATTTTTATTTTTCTAAATGAAATAAAAATTTTAACTAAATTTGTGCAATATGTGAAGCATAATAATTTAAAAATAAATAAATGAGCAGTTGGGGACGATACGTATATTTCGTGATTTAAGGGGGCAAATTAACATCGAGACTAAAAGTAAGGGGGTGAAATTTAAGAAAATGAAAATTATATAGGATACGCGAGGCCAAAAAAGGGGGCCTAAAGGGAAAGCTACGGTTTTTTGCAGTATTTCTCGTAAATGGCGTCTGTGGCGGCCACGGCCCGGTTAACGCTCAGTTGCGTCGGCTCCATTTCTCGTTCCTCTTCCGTTCGTGCCGTAATTACCTCTTTGCCCTTCGTTCCCAATCGATTTTCATCTTGCTGTACCAGAATCGACGTCGCACGCCGCAAAACGACGTCGCGAAATGTGAAGTTTCTCAGCGTTCAGGCCGCGGGATCCGGCCCGTATGGGTCCGATTTGGAGGAGAGCGTGAAGAAGACCGTTAGCGAGAACCCGGTTGTGGTCTATTCCAAAACGTGGTGTTCGTAAGTGCTCCCTTTTTTTTGGTCGGATTGAATCAAATGTTTTTTTTTTCTTTTTTTTTGTTAAAAATTAGGTTCTTCATTGTATATCTTTTTGAGTTTCTGTTAGTTGAATTGTTCTGCGGTTCATAGGTACTCAATGCAGGTGAAGTATTTGTTTGAGAGTCTGGGGGTGGAGCCATTTGTTGTTGAATTGGACCAATTAGGTATGGTTTGGTTTGATCTGTTCTTTATTTTTGTTCAGCACAATTCTTGCTTCAGCATAGCAGTTAGCTGGTTTGACCCGTTATACATTTGTAACAAACAAAATGTATGCTTATATTATGAAATTACGTACTTCTACTTATGTTGTTTTTAATGTTACGGATTTTATATGCTACTTCAATTAGATATCAGTTGTAAAATTTGACTAGCACCTTGGCCCTGACAACGACTGGAGAAAGACGTTGGTCACTAGGTGGGTTCTATTAGTAGTTTGCGATTGAATAAATGCATAGATTAGTGTTATCACACAGCGTTGAGAAATTCTATATGCATTTTTCTTGTGGAAATTCGATATTCCCTTCACTTTTTCTCTATACTCTGCAGTCGTATTTGCATGGCTAGATGTTACAATAATTAGTTGTAATTTGTCAAAAGCTCTTGTAAATGACAACTTATGACGAATTATTCCATCAACTGAGCCTCGGATGAAACAGACCAGAAAACAATAATTTAATTACTCACATGATGCAGTTTTGTTCGTTTGGATGTACAAAAGAACAATGCAGGAAGACATAGTAACTTGATTAGTGACTTTATAGCCGAATGAGTAGTTTTTCTGATGTGTACTATGTGTTTACATGATTTTTTTTTTTCCTTTTTCAGGTCAGCAAGGATCTGAACTGCAAAAGAGTTTGGAATCACTCACCGGGCAACGAACTGTTCCCAATGTATTTATAGGTAATGACCACAAAATTTGATTTTTCTTTCTTTGCATTCAAGAAATAATTCATCTTAGCCATGCATGTGGTTAATGATCCCTTCCCTCTTTTTTCCTTTATTTTATCTTCCAAAAGTATCTTTTGAAAACTGTAATACACAAAATTTAATTATTTATTATTGGTTTCTTCATTCTTTTCATTCTATAATCGTTCTACGACTAATATTGATTTTCTCCTGCAGGAGGCAAGCATATTGGTGGTTGTTCAGGTATCTTCTCAAGAACAGTAGCGTCTGCTAATCTGTTTTAATGTTGCTGTGAATTTTAATGCTGTAAATATCTTCACTAGAAAAATAACAACGGCTCGTTTCTGTAGAGTGTGGCTTTGCAGATATACGGATAAATAGGATCAATTTGTCACCTTTGAACTTTCAGTGTCATAATATGATTTGCCAGAAACAGAGTTATCATGTCCAAAATACAGATTGGGAATGATTAAAAGAATTTGTTTTTGCTCGTATTGTGTACAGATACTATCGATCTACATCAAAATGGGAAGCTCGAGGCTTTGCTATCAAAAGCTGGAGCAAAGATGTTGGAAAGTTAGCACTCGGGACTAAATCTATGTTTTCTTTTTGTCTTTTCATTTTTTGTTTCGAGTGAACGTATTTCATATGCAGTGTTCCGTTATCATGATTTTATGAAAATCATGAAAATTCTTGCTTGAATCAAGAAATAAATGGAGTCCATGAACGGGGTGTAAGCGAGTCGAGCTCGGCTTGGCTCGACTTGTTAACTTAACGAGCTCATAATCGAACTCGAGCTTTAATGAACCGGAAATCGAGCTTTAACAAGCCCAACTATAGAAATTTATATAAATATCATCTTTTCGAGTCGAGCTCGACTTGTTAACAAAAAGAGCTTTGAATCAGCTCACGAATGGTTTATTTAGTTTAACCAGATAAACATGTATAAGAATTAAGAGGATGTTAGAATGGGTGATTGGAAATTGATTTTTTGGGTTAATTTTGATTTATTGAATAAAGTGAGTTAAGATGGAAAAAGATATTTGGATTGGAATAATATATTGACTTTGAATTTGTGAATGATTATGAAATAAAATGCACAGACGAATATAAAATGAAATGTATAAAGGAAAGTTATGTGATATAAAAGTAATAAAATAATAATTGTAAATGATTGATTGCTAAAAATATGTAAATGGATGAATAATGAATTTTGTTGGAAAATGTTTAGTAATGATTGGTTGATATTATTTAATTGAATTAATAATATTGATTATAGTTCAATTGGATTAGATAAATAGTAAATTTTGAGTTAAAATTTATATTCAATCGTAGTTCAATAAAAAATATTGGTCAAGACAAAACCATTTTTTCTTTTCGGATCTGGACTCGATCTCAAGCCTAGAAACACAAAAACAACTTCTCTCTCTGCCGAAAGAAGAAAAACAACAGTAAACTTCTAATTTTTTTTTTTTTTTTTTCCCGCCA